ATATATATATATATATATATATATATATATATATATATATATATATATATATATATATATATATATATATACTAGCGCACCCGTCACCGCGTGTAGCAGCGGGGATAAAAGAAAATCTGATGAAATGTATAAGAAGGGTTTCATCAATGCGTTACAAATCATATGTTCTTAGACGCGTGACCTTTTCTAAAACTGAGTTATTTAATTGTAAACAATGCCTGCGCTTGGATCATAAATATCGGGACACGGATTTACCTACACTACCGCATGAAAACCTTGAGTGCACGTTAATCACACACTGAAATAATGAGATATAACACACTTCGCTGACCGCCCATGTGTCATGGACGAAGGGGGAGTGGCACTCTCGAGAGCCTCCGATTACACTACCACAGAAGCGCCGCGTAACGCCTTTGGCGACTTAAAACTAATATAGGCGCCATGATGCTCACAGAATAACCCAGAGCGACGAATAGCAGCCTGAAACGATGATGCAAATTACGTCATTCTCTAAAGTGACACAAAACAACAGGATTTTTCCTTTAACACGTGGAAATAATATATTTTACGTATTATTAACATCAGTTTGACTGAAGCAATTTGTTCAAAGCCAAATCGCACACTTTCAGGGCGCCGGCTGACACGCGTAAATCAATTTAGTGAGCAACTGTAACGGCCCCTCTCATCCATTGTCTACCGCACTGTTTAGAACGAACATAGAGGCCATTGCTCTCACGAGTAAGCCAGGGCGCTAAATCGAACCCTTTAGGGGTGCCAGGGGACGCTCTTGGTTCGATATAGTCAACGATTAATGTTCCCAACAGCTCCACTTGTTTAAGTTTTAACGCTGAATATAGTAATACCCCTTACCCACTATGCAGGGCGCAAGATTAACGGATGCCACGTGCTAGATAATTTTGTAACATAATGATAGGGTATGGGTTAGATCACTGTATTGATCTCAAACCTCCATACAGGTAATTGCAAAAACAATATTTACAGAGTTTTACCTGTTTCAAAAGCTATGTTTTTAGTGGCATGGTACTTTGGTACCGCATTACGCGTTTTCCAAATGTACTTGACAGATCAGTTCGGGGTGGGTTGGGGGGGGGGGTTGTCAACTTCATTCACCACTTTCCGGTCACTTTAGGTCAATTATCCAACCCAGCGTATACTTAGGTGTGACGTTAATGTAGTTCTACACAACCTGTCCCGTTTTAGGTGATGAGGGGGGGGGTTAATAACCAACTCAAATTGAACATAGAGTCAGTTTGTAGATGTCTGTTCTAAACATACATATACAAGTACACATATATACTAATTCAGAAATATATTTAAATAAGTAACAGTGGTATTATGACGGTAAAAATTATTTTACAGAGGTTTCAACCTCACCCCCCCCCCCAGCCTACGCCACTGATTCATAATATTCACATAATTAACAGTACAATTCTTGATGAACGTACATCCTTATTATTCATATATTTACCCATCTTTGGAATTTGAGACATTCAACAATGATCCATTGTAGAGTAACGATAATCATTACAATAATCCAAGAACAATCCACGAACGGAGCGACGGTTCCCAGCCTTATATATAAAAGGCCATGTGCGCACTTCTCTCTCTCTCTCTCTCTCTATCTCTCTCTCTCTCTCTCTCTCTCTCTCTGTCTGTCCGCAAAATATTTTCGCCGGACATCACATCAGAATCTGCAGCGATATATGAAGAACTTTGTACGGAATTTTGTTGAAAATAATATGTTAGATGTTTTAAATGTATAACCACAATTTTATTTAAAGAAGAACAATAAAAAATAAAGGCGTATTCGAATGTAGAACAACAATTTTAATCATGCAACCGGAAAAGCGTTTATACTTGGGACAAGAACGCATTTTTTATTGTTTACACTACAAAAAAGAGCACGAAACTGATGACGTCATCTTCCGAGTTTAGAATAAAATAAAGAAATGAACTATTTCATTCAAATATGATTCAAGAGCTAGATTATGCGAACGCTATGAAATGTATACAATACGATTTTCTCGGCCTAAACTTGTATAAGTTTTTATATTATCTATTTGGATTCTAGATATAGATCTAGATCTCGATTCTAGATCTAGACTAGATCTACGAAAAAACTAGACGTAGACGCTAAGATCTGGATTTAGACAATCTACTAAAAACCACTTAACTACCATTGAACGCTTTGTCAGTAATATCGTTCAGCGTGTAGTGAAGCACATTGCGTTTTGACCAATAACTATTTTATTTATAGGCCTATAATTCACGTGAAACGGGTACCGATGGCTAGTTCTTTTATACAGGCACGCCCTTCTCTACCTTACACTCCCCTTTTATATCCTTCATTCTCTCCCCTCACCTCAGTGAGCGAAATGACAGAAAGCATGAATAAACATGATTAGTCGCTCACATAGTACTTCCGTTGGCCAGGTATTCTACTTTCATACAAATATAAAATAAATAAACAATACCAAAAGTACATTCTGTTACGTGAATTAATGCACGACGGGTACGTGAGTAAGAAATAAAATAAAGATTTAGAGAAAAATATCATCTTTTAGGCGCAGGCTCTTGTCTACCATTCTAATGGCCTAAGAAACTCCCTACAAAAAGTTTTTGTCCGTCATCAGTCTGTATTTTGCACCATTGAAAAGCTTTATTTCTCATATTTTTAATAATGTTATATTCCACATCTCGAGACACCCAAATCTTAAAATCGGCTTTACACATTACACACAAATGGTATTTTTCTTGATCTTTATTTCGTCAGTTCTTGCTAATTTTCTCAGTTTGCAGTTTTTTTTTATTTAAAAAGCCTTTTTCTTTTTATTTATTTTCATTAGTTGCTCTTCATGCAAAATATAAACTTTTGCCTCGAGGGAGCTGTGTTTGCATTTATAGAAAAAAACTTTATGATAAAAAATATGCAGATTTTGAAACTTCTCAAAACTAAAAAAGGGTGTGATTTTTTAGACCTTGTAGAAATATGATAAGTAGTTCTATCGAAAAGCTGCAGTGATAAAAGTTGTAAAATGTACTGAAGTATTAGCCGTGTAAATTCAATTGCAATAAATGCATAAATAAAAAAAAAACAAAAAAATAAACAACCTATTTGTTTTTAAAAGTACCGAAACATTCAAAATGGCGGACGAATTTTATTGGTTTCCATGTTTTCAAACGCGATTTTGCTGTTTATTACTTACTTTTATGTGCCGAACATGGTAAAATTAAGCTAAATGCTTTAGAAGTTAAATAGTAAAATAAGGGGGAAAAACTCGTACATCCCCTTAAATTTAAATAAAAATTAAAAACAGAAATCTACAAAGACAGGGGTCCGCATACGCAGGTGACGGAATATATTTCAAATAGACCAGGACTTAACATATCAAAATTGAGTGCTTTGTATTAAACTTATAGGAGACTTGACTAGTCCATCTGAGACCACTGACAGTACGCCTCCTCTATCAATCCTAGTTTAATGAATTGTCTTGAGTAAATTGTCTTAGGATTTTAATAATTTAATTCAATAGCGTCATAAGAAGTTTACCAAGTTTAACAGAGTCGATAAAAAACTATACGTTTTACGTTTTAAAAACAATCAAACACGACAAAATGCTAAACTTTTATCTCAAGTATGTGGACGATTTTGAAAGACATCATCATTTCAAAACACATCTAGGAGAAACATTTCTGAAATAAAAAAATTATGTCCTGAGGTGCCGCACGGGATGACACCCGACCTACTATTTGAAGAAAAGACGGATGTGCATTTAACTAATAACACTAGTTTATTTTTAGCCAATCTCTGAAAAATATAAAATCGTTTTCATTTGCCTATGGACAATAAGCGACGGTAACTTAGCTTTTTTTAAGTGTGGGGTGCAAACGGCTACTGTAATACAAAAACCAAAAATCCACCCGTGATTGCATTGAATAGGCAACAATCTACCAGCAGTTGATATAACATTGGCCAAACTACACCTGTAATTTTTAACATAGGCCGAATTCTACTAGCGATCGCTGTATGGGTAATGGGATGTGAGTCATGGGTGTGGTGCAGGGATGGGCTGTGTGGGGCTTGGCTCGGTATGTGGTTTATGATGTCATGTGTTGATGTGTGAGGTGAGGGTTGTGTGGGATTAAATCTACCCCGGGTGTTGTGAAGCGGATGGCGTGTAGTAGTTGCTTGTTTCCCCTAATTGCATAATCACCAATTATATTGTGAAAAAATATTTATATTTTTATAACAATAAAGAAGACTGCAATGTTATAAAAGTTTTAGTATTTAATAATTTTTTTGAAAATATGATAGAATCCAGTTGAAAAAAAATAATTGCGCTGCAAAAATGAACGGAAACAAAGTGTGCATAATAAATCGGAAAATTAGTAGGACCTACTTTATAAATAAAACATTAAACATTGATTTAAAAAAAAAATTAATTAGGCCTAAACATCTAATTAATTCACATTTTTACCGTGTATTATAATCGAGTCTTGACCCATGAAAATGTTTTGAAACAAATCGGTTAATAAGAAATGCTTTTTTTTTTTTTTAGAAATCGGAAATAACTTAAAAAACTAATTCAGGTAACCGGAAAATCATTCAATAAGCAAAAAGTTTATACTTATGTATACAATTTCGACTCCAAATTGAACGGTACCTACGTGATCTGTAGTTTAGAAACTGGTGAAAATGAAACACATTCATTTATTTGAAGCTCACTCAAAATTAGAGAGTATTTAAATAACATCTTATAATCATACATAAAGTGTTGTCTACATAACTAAAACACTACTCAAGTTGCCGTAATGCAATCAAAATATAATTAAGGACAACTTTTGATTACCTAACATAATTGAAAAGTTGTGAGACTTGTGCATACACACTAATATTTATATGTTAAAAAGAATAATAATATGTACGCACTGGTTAGAATTATAATTCGATAACGTTTGACTCCAAAAAAAAACTCGTGTTCAAATATTAGAGTAAATTTTATTTTGAGATAAGCAATAAAATTAAAAGTTGATTTTTTTTTCCAGCTGGTGAATGTTATGCAATTTATTATTAAAATTCCATTTTAGATAAAGACAGAATTTTTTTTTCGTCCTTTCAAATTGTGATTGTAGTTTTTAAAATATGCGCTTGATCTCCTAAAGGTTTTGAGGCAACATTTGCACAGCCCTGATGGTCCATCTCAAGTACCTAGCGATCCTGTATATCGGGGCAAGGTCTAACGTTCATCACATGGTCCCAAAAGCTATAAGGAATTGAAACTCTAAAGAGAAAAAAGTATGTATATATATATATATATATATATATATATATATATATATATATATATATATATATATACACACATAAACAAAGGCATATATATATATACACCTTTGTATACATAAGTGTATATATATATATACATATATATATATATATATATATATATATATATATATATATATATATATATATATATATATATATATATATATGTATATATATACTTCTGTCATTGATTAATCATTGGACTTTGTGAAATAATTAGAAATGAAATTTTTGATAATTTTATCTTTTGATGGTTTATTTTCAATACATTTATCTAAACGGGTGAATGTGCGTAATAGCTAAGCGTAAATAGGAATTTCCTGTTGGATTAAGTGTTAATGTAGGTTAAAACATTAGTAACGTGTTATAACGGTGTAAGTGCAGTAGTTTTATGTGTAGGTGTAGTGGTAGGTGTAGGTGTAGGTGTAGGTGTAGGTGTAGGTGTAGGTGTAGGTGTAGGTGTAGGTGTAGGTGTAGGTGTAGGTGTAGGTGTAGGTGTAGGTGTAGGTGTAGGTGTAGGTGTAGGTGTAGGTGTAGGTGTAGGTGTAGGTGTAGTTGAAGGTGTAGGTGTAGGTGTAGGTGTAGGTGTAGGTGTAGGTGTAATTGTAGGTGTAGGTGTAGGTGTAGGTGTAGGTGTAGGTGTAGGTGTAGGTGTAGGTGTAGGTGTAGGTGTAGGTGTAGGTGTAGGTGTAGGTGTAGGTGTAGGTGTAGGTGTAGGTGTAGGTGTAGGTGTAGGTGTAGGTGTAGGTGTAGGTGTAGGTGTAGGTGTAGGTGTAGGTGTAGGTGTAGGTGTAGGTGTAGGTGTAGGTGCTGATTGCAGTTGGATTTTGAAGTGGAGGTGGAAGTGGAGATGTAGGTGGAGTTGCAGTTAAAATGAGTAAGTATAGGTATAGGTATCATGTGTATAGAAACATGTATAGGTTGAGATAAGGTCAGGGAATGAGATAAGGGAAATAAAATAGGATTGAGTCAGAGATAGGGGAATCAATATCTGTAATGTACGATTAAAGAAAAAGATAGAGATATGGACAAGAATAGATATAGAAATGAGGATAGCGTCAGACAAGTAAAGTTCCATTTTCCGAACCTGACAGTCAAAGGATTAAATGAAGTGGAGTTCACATATTTCTGTGTGTTTAGCTTATGAAGGGATAAATTGGTCAGCACTGAGATTGTGATAAGGATTATGCTAGGGATTATTACAGTAAAAGGGACATGAATAGAGTAATGATTATTTTTCTGGGTATGGTTTTGATGGTGAGCGTTGTATTAATTGTCTCGAATGTCCATTTTTGCATTTTGACGATTAATTTAAAAATGTTGTGTTATCCCGGAAACCCGGGCTGAGACGGGTATATGCGGAATATGTTAAATAAACACACTATTCAGTAACATTCTTAGCTATCAAAGAGCGTTTTTTAGCAAATGATTCTAGAACCACTTTAGGACCTCTTTGCCTACTAAAACAAAAATTTCTTTTCTCAAAAAAAAAAAAAAAAAAAAACCCCACGTATTACTACATTTTACAAATTAATGCTAACAGAACAAGCATATTACCAATGACTACAATATTTCATCAAATCTTTTATAAGATTATGTTAAATTAAGATTAAACAAAAATGGCGACTAAACTGATCATCGAGTCTGTATAATAAAAAACCGGTATAGTCATCCGCAGTTCCTTCCGAATTTCTCAATTCCAAGTCCTCGCAGTCTATCATCATATATTGTATTATTGGCTGAAGATAAGGTAACAAACAATTTATATTTACTATAAGCACACAAGCTAAAAAATATATTAATAAACATATGGCAGTGAACACTTCTTATTCTTCGTTCTTAATTTTTAGTGTTGGAGGGATCGAGCCATATCTGCCAGAGGGTTTGAACTCGAGGCTTTTTTTCGAATTTATCAACCATGAGCTTTGCCGACTCGACCATGCTTCCATCACAATTAAGGATTACGTGTCAACTGTTTATGCGCCATTGGGGCCACTGACTCCGATTTCAGCCTGCTTTTCTTTTTGGATTTGCTTCCATAGCCTTTGTCCAACCAAGAACAAACTACAGGGCAGCAGTTGTTTGATTTTTGAGTTGTCTCTCCTAGAAGAGTGGCTGTCCCCAGCTAACGAGCCTCATCTGCCCGAGGGTTCGAACTCGAGACTTTTCGGTTTAGCAATCATGAGCTTCACCGACTCGACCACGCCGACCCCTATTGAACACGATAATATACACTCTAGATGAGACATTTTCGCGTCAGAGGCATGGCTAGAGGGAGATGGGCGTAAGTTCCGATAGCTAACCCTAGAAACGGGGATGCTAAGAGAGAGGCTCCGAGAGCTGACCCAAAGAACTGGGGTGCCAAAAGACAGGCTTCGAGGGCTGACCCAAGGAACTGGGATGCCAAAAGACAGGCTCACGAGCTGACCCAAAGAACTGGGGTGCCAAAAGACAGGCTCACGAGCTGACCCAAGGAACTGGGGTGCCAAAAGACAGGCTTCGAGGGCTGACCCAAGGAACTGGGGTGCCAAAAGAGAGGCTCAAGAGCTGACACATGGAACTGGGGTGCTAAAAGACAGGCTCACGAGCTGACCCAAAGAACTGGGGTGCCAAAAGACAGGCTCACGAGCTGACCCAAAGAACTGGGGTGCCAAAAGACAGGCTCACGAGCTGACCCAAGGAACTGGGGTGCCAAAAGACAGGCTTCGAGGGCTGACCCAAGGAACTGGGGTGCCAAAAGAGAGGCTCAAGAGCTGACACATTGAACTGGGGTGCTAAAAGACAGGCTCACGAGCTGACCCAAAGAACTGGGGTGCCAAAAGACAGGCTCAAGAGCTGACACATTGAACTGGGGTGCAAAAAGAGAGTCTCCGAGAGCTGACTGACACAAGGGACGGGTGTGCCAAAAAAAAATTAAACGCTCAATTCAAGCAGAATTATTTAATTAGTTAAGAAATTAAAGGCTACACGCCTTTACTTGCTGATTTCATTGCTTTCTACCTTGATTGTGTAACTAAAATAAGTACATTAAGAATAAGCCGGTCTTCCAAATCACCAAACACCATTTTTCAAGATAAGCGAGAGGCTTTCTAAGATTAAAACATTTTACTTCTTAACCTTCTAAGTAATTAAAGACAAGTCACAATAAATATTACTTTTTTTTTAAAAAATCCGATTTCGTTATATCTTTAAAAATTACAGTTTTTGAAATGTAAATATTCTCACTGAAAAGTCAAAAGCACAGGCAGGAACTGATCCTTCCGCAGCATTGTTATTTTCTGTTTGAAGTGAGACTATGCAGGGCGGGTCACGGATAAGATCGGATTCAGTCAAAGTATAATAGAAAAAACGTCGCAGTTGAATGCGACTTGCGGCGCTGAAAAAAAAACATACAAAATCATTACTAGTATTATTATTACAGAGATATATCATAACAAGTTCACATTTACATTAAAGTTAACATGCGTATGATCATTCATGTAATAACTAACAATCAAATTCACATTTACATGTATCATTTAATCTTCATACTTGTTGATAGATAAGTTATATACGTATATATAAATACAAACATACATTAAACTAAGACTTACTAAACAGTAGGAGTTCTGAATTTTGCAAATTCTACATTGAGTTTAGTTCCATTCTTGCTTAACCCCACCATTGCAGTATACCAATCGCCCTCGTAAGACGATCTCAAGTAAAACCAAAGTTCCTAGAAAAATAAAATATTAAACTTGTATTGAAAAATGAATTGTTATAATTTTGCACAAAAACAAATACAATCTAAATATTTAATTGCACTACTATTGCACTACTATCGAAAATACAGTATTTTTAAAAGTGTGTGTATGCGTATGTGTATGCGCATGCGTATGCGTATGCGTAAAAGCTTTAGGAAACCAAACTGGAACGTGAACTGGAGCGTGAACGTGAACGTGAATGTAAATTAGAACTTGTCACTGGCGCCTATTTTTAGATTAATTACTTACAGAGTTAAGTTTGTTTTTCTTTTATTTTAAAACTAGGTATAAAATGATCGTTATTCATTCCTTATTTATCAATAAAAATATGCATTGAGACTTTTCTGCAATGTAAAATAAGTGTTTCGTGCATGGAGACATGGCCTTTCATTGGGCACGGACGCCATTGAAAATATGGCGTTCGTGCTCATGAGATCGTCAAGTTGCATCCTAATGTCGGGCGCCGCCTCCTTAAACTTTTTTCGCAGAAAACTTTTGCTTTAATAATACGGTGTTGATTACTGATTTGAATCACATTATTAAATGCATGTGATGATATAAGCACAAAATCTCAGTGTGTT